GGTTCCGCAGACTTTATCATGGATCAAAACATCTACCTAGTTCGTCTGTCTCGTTGCTGAACACCATTTAGTGAAATAAAGCATCAACAGTAGTGCTCACACGAAATATGATGGCAATTTGAGTATGATTCTCAAAAGTAAATGGAAGAACGTTTTGCTTCTGCATTTTTTACAGAAGAGCCAGAAGAAGTCTTTACATATTGAACAATAAGGGACGCTAAATCTTAAAGAATAAATTATAGTGTTCACAATTTAATTCCTGATGAAGAATTGCAGATTCAGTAGAACTCCAGTGTCAACAATTTACTCTTGCATATGATGCCCGATCCTCGCGGTAGATAGCGCTATTTAAGCAATAGCGAAAATCAGACCTGAAAAAAATCAGGCCTGTACGGGATTCGAACCACTGACCTCCGCGAAACCTGTGCAGCGCTCCATCAATTGAGCCAGCAAGCCAACCGGGAGCAGGCCGCCAAGTTGATTCGCAATAAACCCGTGAAAGTGATAAATGAGATACAATGAAAATATATGAAGTTCATATATGAAGTTCATATATATGAAAATATATGAAGTTCATATATTTTGAAAATATATGAACTTCATATATTTTCATTGTATCTAATTTACTCTTGATGAAGAATTTACTAAATAGAGTGTTAATAATTAATTTTACTTTCTTTTCTGGAAGATCGATGCGAGCTAACTACAACGGACACAAGTTGCGTTTACTTCATGACGAAAGTATCCTCATTGTCCTTGTACTGAATCCGCAATTCTTCCTCAGGAATAAATTGTAAACACTCTCATCATTATTCCTTACTATTCGCATCAGATCATCGAAAGTAGACACCTCAGTTTCGTCTGTTGTAATAAGTTCGCATCGATTTTCCGGAAAAAAAATGATGTAAAATACTTTAAGCAGGGCGATGTTGTATTACTAAACAAAAGCGGATAAACTACAACAGACAACGAAAACGCGGGAAAAGAAATGCGAAGGAATGTTATCACGTGCCTTTGCCTTTTAACAGTCTACCTGTTGCCGTTATATAACACCTTTTTCTCTATGCCACCGAAGATTATACTTTACAGATTCAGCGCAAAAATCAGGTGATGTTTATTTATCACGTTCCTGAGTCCCCGCGCGTCACCGAGTCCCGACTTCCTCGTATCCCATATCCCAAGTCCCGGCATCCCCGAGTCCTTGAGTCTACGAGTCCCTCACGTCCCCGAGTCCCAAGTCCTTCGTTCTCGTCTTACTTTTAGGGCCTGTTTACATGGAGGGAGGGTGCCCCGGCTAACCGGGCTACCCGGCTAGAAGGGTTGAAACATAGCCCTCCTTTACATGCAACTCACCTAACCGGGACAGTGAGTGGGCTGCGTGGGCAATCTTTTGAGCGGTCGCTAAGCAAAACAAACAAAATGGCCGACAAAACAACTTTTTGGCGGCAGGTTTGATTTTTGTTTCGCTCATTCCACTAGCGCGAGTCTGTTCTCTGCCTGAGACTCATCTACTACATTGATCTCTTCAGACTGACTGACATTTTGTTCGGCAGACAACACTGGTAAATGGTAACGACGAAAATACTGACCTCGTGCCGCCATGTAAACAGGCCCTTAGTCACAGCCGGCGGAGAGAGTATCTAACCTCTCTCCTCCCTTATAATGAATCTGACTCTGTCCTGTATTTCTCTGACATGGATTCTCCTGGAAGTTTTGTTTTCTTCTTCTTTAAAAGGGGAGTACGAAGAACTTCTTTGGTACGCCGAGAAATTAAAATTATTTTATGTGTTTACGATCACGGCTATCCCACGTCGACTCAAAGTTGCCAGCCGACACGATATGGATTTACTGGGAAGTGCACTTTTCTATCTTTGCATTTAAGGTGCAGAAACCACGTTGTTCCAAAAGAATGGTTTTATTTGACGGAAAAGTCGAAGCGACAGTGGACGCCTCTGATAAAACGATATGGATTGTAGCGATGATATACATGGTGATTATTGAGATCTGCTCTCTGAATGCTCAAGGATTGCATCTTATCTTGCTGAAAAATCACCTTGCATGAGGTCATTATGGCTGAGGGACTAAATTTCAAAATAGCTGCCTCGCGTTATTTACTCAAGTAAAAAACGGCCTGACAAAATATAGAGACTCTGCATGCTTGGAGTATGATACGTATGGAAATATGGTCCACCAAACATAGATCCTAGAAAATTCAAAGCATCTTTAACAAATATTGTCTTATCTAGGTCAGAACCTCGTCATTTGTGCTCTATGATGGAATAAGGTTTTCATACATTACTTTACTTTATTTTGCTAAACCGCTAAGTGTTTGTAACGCTAATGAGAGGCCTTCTTGGGGCATTTGTAAGCTATGAGTGGAGGTGCTCCTAGATAATGACGCTAATTTGCAATTGGCTTTAATGTTTCAATTTCACTCACCTAATACAATATAAAGGCTTTAAGTCAAGAAATTGGTCTGTTTATAGCATGAATTATGCTCAAAACTGCATTTTGCTTGACCTTAAAGGGGCATAGAGTGCTTGTGCCAAAAACCTAACAAACCTTATTAAGCCAAATTTTTCTCAACTGATTTTGATAGATGTGTCACTAAAGTACATACTGAATTTGGTATGAAAGTTATGCAAGAAGGCATGCGAGCGTTAAGGTATTTTCAAAAGTGGCAATTTTGGGCACTGATTTTGACCTCAAATTTGACCTACCTTTAACCCCAGGCCTCTCCCTGTCTACTCACTTGAGAACAAAGTTATATTTAAGAGGTAAAAGCTCCACTATAGTAGAGTCCATGGTAAAATTCATTTGGCAGCACAATTTACCAATGCAGTTTTAGAGCACTTTCAAAATGCCATCTAGAAGGATGAATTTTTGGTGCTCCAAAGGCCACAAATGGGACCCCCCCCCCCAAAAAAAAAAACTCCAGAACAAACAGTTAGAGAAGTGAGTCAAAGTGGCTTTTGAAATGTCTTATTTTCTTTTTACACTCAACATTTGTGCCAAGTTTCAGCCGAATTGGTTGATTACCACTATTGGCATTGGCCCCTGGAACACTTTCTCAGACAGGGACACTTAATTAAATTTCAACCACAACATACATTTACAGAGTTCCTGTTAACGCACAGGTGTGTGTCTTATATGTGCAAAAAATGGAAAGGACGCACAGTTTTTGCCAATGTGCATCCTTGGGACGCAGGAAAAAGGTGCTAACAAGTTAGGAGACTGGGTCTGATGGGCTCTACCCAAGAATTACTTCGATCATCATGGCACATCCTTTGACCCGCCATTTAGTCATGGTCAAGTGCATGTCTTCTCAGAGGGGCTTATTCAATATTCGAAAGGGGAAACCTTGAAGCGATACAGATTTGGGGGATGATACCCAAGTAAAGAAACTCAAATTTTGTCCTAAATGGTTGGAGGAGTTTCAATGGTTAAAATATGATTCAACCGAAAAACAAATGGTTGGTGTTAAGAAACATGAACACACCTTATTCCAAAATTAAAGTTTTATTAATAGCGTTAACACCTGGTCTTGGCTTTTGCCTCTGTTAGAAACTATAAAATAAAATTTTAGTTAAAGGCAGGGAACCCCTAAAAAAGCTAAAAGGACCCCCAACTTTTTGGAACTGGGGGTCCCAAGGACCCTTAACTATCAAAACTAATGGGGACTCTGCATTTAGGTACTATCATATCAGAAGTTGATTGACCACCTTTAATTAAACATATAAAATCCTCCCTAACCAGGGCTGTACATGATAAGTTAAGTGGGTGCACAAAGGCTGGGCAAGATTCTGTTAATGAAAGTCCAACTACTCTTATTTTCATGTTCAAAGTCATACTAAGAGAGGATGAAACTCTTCCTATTGTACAATGTAATGCAACATTGGTCTAAACATTATGACCCCCTTAAAAAGTCACAACAGGATATGAATACATATGTTACACTTCATCTAAGTAAAAAACTATAACAAATATGAGTACAAAGCTGCCAGGGAATAAGGAACTTGTATCCACTCTTCTTGATCCTCTCTATTGAACTGTTAGGCATGTTCATCTATGTAGCAAATAAAAGACAAGTTGAGCTATTATGTTGATAAATTTTGAGCATAATGAATTCAGCTGTAGCTACTTTCGAAGTACAAAAGTGAAATTCAAATATTTCAATAAAAATCCTAGACTTGGTCACAAGTCGCATGTAGCGTGACAGTAAGTGCGAAGCATGATTGAGCCGAACCGAGCGAGCGAAAGCGGGTCCTACAACACCAGAACCTTAAAAAGTTTTAAGGTTGGTACACGAGGGGACTAGTCCCTGTGACTAGTCCCCTAAGGCGTTTACAGGAGGGCACTCAATTGCACAAGAACACAGGAATATTAAGAGGCAAAAAATGTTTCTTAGTCTGGGGCATTACACGAAAACAATGAAAATTTGGTAACTTTTCATTGTAGCACTTTTAAACATCAACGCAAAAGAACTACACTTTTTTAGTCGAATTGTTCATGCTTCTTCGTGTTCTGTTTTTGTTTTTGGTTTTATTTTTAACAGACACAAGAGTCAAATAGGGTAAAAGCTCCATCAAAACTGCTCCAAGACATCTGTATATGTATATGTGCACGATATATGTGTTTGTTGTTTGACATCTATATATGTTTACAAAACTAGAAATAGTTTTTTATTCTTCAGTTGTAAAAATCTAGAATTCAGGGAAAATTCATAGAAACTGCAATGTTTACAAATACCGGAAGTCACCCATCATACTGACCCGTGATTGGCTTATTTACCGTTTAGTCGGAGGGACTGGTCACACAAACAGTTCACACGAAGGGACAAACATTTGTTTCATGCGACAAGTCCCTGCGACTGGGTTGCATGAATTCAAACCAGTTTGAATTCATGCAACTAGTTGCAGGGATCAAATTTTGGTCCCAGTGACCACAGAAATGCGTAGTTCACATGAAGGGACTAGTCGCATGAAGCTGGTCGCTGGGACTAGTCACAAGGACTAGTCACCTTGTGTGTGCTGACCTTAAACCATAACTTCGCACTCTTAGTGTTTTCAGCTCTCCCACCAAGCGAAAAAAAAGAAATTAAAATCACAATTTTAAAGAACAAAAACTGACACAGTTAACAAATGGCAAACACCACAGCATGCACCATCGAGTTATGGATGCACACGGGAGCTTGCTAAATATGAAAGAAGTGCTTAGCAAACCTCCCAAGTGCATCTATAACTCAATAGGGTACACTGTAGCATTTACCATTTGTTTTATAACATAACATTGATACATTGTAGCAAAAGAGTTTTCTTTTAACAAATCTTATGTGACCAGAAAACAAGCGCACACGGAAAACTAGTCTTTGCATTTGCTCACATCACTAGCATACACCCATGGGCAAATGGTGGATGCTGAATTGATCAATCAGAGCGTGCGCTTTACTTTGGTCATATTATAATGATCATTGTACAAGTCACATACTTCTTAGTCCACCTAACACTCTCCACTCCTTCAGATCACTTTCAAAATTTTGATAGGCACAGTAAAATGAAGAGTTTTCACTTGGTAACACGTGAATAACATGTCGTCTAGGGATTGATGTTTGGACACCTGGATGAGATATGTAGTCTTGTTGATACCCAGGACACCTCTCTGATGGACAAGCAGGACCACAGTGGAACTTGGTGTAAGGGAAGTGCCCCTGACAGATCCCTTGGACCATGCCAAACACCTGAACCAACACATCTGCAGGATGCATATCTGTTGCTTTACATCTGTCAATAGAAATGGCTCAATTAGAATTTTTGCCTTAACAACTGAATTTATCTTGTTCTCATTTCACAGCCTTTGTAACACAGAAAGGAAAGCCTCTCTTGGAATGTACTTTGCAAAAATTGAATGAATTGACTAATGCTGTCTACTTAAAATAATATTAATATAATATTAATGTTATTATAATATCATTAACACACATCAGCTTATCTGATGTGTGTTGCCATTTTAACATTAGATGTTTATAACTTAACTTCGTTTCTTTTTCTTTCCACATTTGCTTTCCACATAGGAGATTTGAGACTGAAGATGACCCAAATATTAAAAACACAATTTGCTATTTTGAAAATCTGACAATGTCACTGCTCAGGTTTGCTTTATGTCTTGGGAGAAATAATATAAGTATGATTTGCCCATGACCTAATTTCTGAAAAAAAAAAACAGGGCATTATCACCAAGGGTTGTAATTTCCTTCAATGGTATCTGTACCATGTATGTTGGAGACTGCTGTGCTTTTATTCCTAGTCACAACCCATACCCTATACTTTAATTTCACAGACCTGTGGCTAAACATCACTTCAATCATATTCTCTTCCTTGAGATGCAGAAGCCTGCAGGGTTGAGTGGGTGTCAACCAAAACCTGCCAACGTTTCTGCTAATGAAAGTCTGGCCCTTACGAAATGATTCTATGCTAAGTTGGTGAGCACGTGATAATAAACAGTGGAAAAGAAGCTCAGGTAGGAATTTCTCAAAGAACACGTAGAACCTCTTATCCGTGGGATGATCATTCCAAACTGGTGTGTTCACATTCGCTGAAACTGGAAGCAGTGCAGGGACAAAATGTGTGACTTTTGCCTCTTTCATATCATTGGTAATGTGATGACTGTAAAATAGAGGACAAATAATGCCATATTTCTCCAGAAAGCCTGTCATTGCTACTTCATTTTCTTGGATTCTAGTGAGAATGTGCCTTAAAAGGGAATTTGTAAGCATTCCTTTGTTGTGTAGCAATGTCCACTCACGCCTGAATCCATGTTGTGAAAATAATTCATCATCTGTCCTAGGAGTGATCAGCTGAATTGTGATGTCAACTAGAAGTGATGGCTTCAGAAGAACCCACTTAGAGATCACTGAATTCTCACCTTTGTCAATGTAAATCACAAGGCCTTTCTCATGAAAATACTTAAAAGTTTCCTTGGACCAGTTGCTGCAAATAAAGTCACTAAATGAAGTTGGAAAATGCTCTAGGGATACACAGAACTTTGCTTTATGGTTTTTCCATGAATTAATGATTGCATCTTGAATTTTAATCCAAGAAAATGGAATTGTGCATCCCAACACACTCTGGTATTCCTCTGCTATGTGTATCATTGTCCTTTGAAGATTTTTAATTCCTCTATCATGAATTCCATACTTGTTTTCAACAGGAAAATACATTAACTTATCTTCTTCATTCATCACCAGATCATAGGTTTGCCAAAGGCTCTGCTGCAGGTGTTTATCCAAATTACCAAGGCACGCTTTACTCATGTTTCCTCTGTGTGTACCAACAAGAAAGATTGGTGTCTTTGGTGCTACTCTGCCATGGATGGATTCCAACCAGAAACAAATTCTTCGGATTTTTGTTTCTATGTCATAGAAATTGTCAGCAGCAATATGTGCCAAGTTAAAGACAACAACATACATTGTTTGATTTCTGTAGAAGAGATGATGGTATGCAAAGTGTTCATTATAATCCCCTCCAAAGTCAAGAATGCCCAATGTTAGATGTGAAAACTTCGCATTGAGAGCTTTTTTTAACTCTGGGTAATTTAATGTTACCTTTTGTACAGAGACAACTTTGTAGCTATGTGTAAGAAAGTTTGATACAAAATTTCTATTGGAAATTACTGCACAGCAGGCACATCCTACAAAAATTGCTACATATAGCAGCATAGAAAAAGATGATCTCCATCCATACAGCATATTTTCAATTACACAAATAGATATAATTGGGCTGACAATTCCCTCTATGAAATGGCTTCCCTTGCACAATGAATGAATGAACCAAATAACTGATAGACCAAAACACAGCATAGTTAAGTAATGAAGAAATTCACAATGACTCAGGAAAGACATATCCATCAACAAGTCAGCACAGAAACCTAAACCAATGCCGTTAATCAAAGAACCTACATGATAAAATAAACCTGGAGGGATAACCTGTCTGCAATTGTAGATTTTCAATTGTCCCGGAAGGGGAATTTCTATATTATCCTGATACCTTTCAAAATGTGAGCGCAACCATTCCTCCTTTAGGGGTCCAAGGAAGTAGTCAATACATTTGCCAGTGAGGGGACTAAGGTAAAAAAGGCGTACAATATACACTATAAATTTGTAATAAATCGAAGTTAAATGTCCAACACATGATAACCCTACCAAGCCACAGTTGATCCCTCTGAAAACACCGCCTACCAATTGAGCAAACATGAGACCTATTGTAAAATGAAAAGGGCATTGAAGAGAGCATGGAGGCGGAGTGCCAAAAAAAATTGCAATGTGTGTCACTATCACAAGAATATCTGGATCCTCTAACTGCCATAACAGCACTAACAAAAACAAATACAGTGACCAAATCACATAAAAAGACACTTTCGATGTTACGTATACTTCTTCAAAAGCTACGTATCCTTTAGATGAAATTAGAGCTGTTAAGGAACGAACAGATTTTCCGAATCGAGAAAAACTTCCGAACGCGAGGCTCGCACTTTGCCACTCCCGGTCTACTGAGTTTGTGTGGACTCCAAATGTACTTGGCTCTTCAACGTCAAACGGCTTTTTAGTGAGAGACTTCACTAAGCTCGTCTTTCCAACCCTAGAGTCACCCAGTATTAAACACCGGCTATTCAAAACAAACTGACTGTAGTCCTCTTCGTTTTGATGTTCACTTGGAAAATCAAGGTCTCTCAATAGCATATCGCATTTCTGTTTAGCGTCCGGTGAACCTTGGTCAAGCTGCAAGCTCGACAACACTTCAGCAGCAGTTCTTGAAGTGTGGTCGTCAGTAAGAGTTAACTTAGTAATGGTCACAGCCATATTTAGTCGTGGGTAATGAATCACTCATTCTCATGCAACCAAATCGATATGTCGACGGCAGACCAATTGATAGCGACCTTCCGAAATTATACGGAAACGCAGATCGTTCACATTTCCGAAGTAATTCTGCGGGTGTCGACAGGGCTCCCTAAAAGGGACCTAAAACACGAAGGCGCGCTATATAAAGAAGTCTTCCCTGGGAGGATCTAGGCTCATTTGTCACTCACCGTTGACGTGTGGGGATCAAACTTAAATGCTGGTGGACGAACAAAAGGAGCTTATGATATCTATTGTTTACTTCCACCAGCATGGTGGCATGAGGTAACGTGCGAACCACCTACTTCGATCTCAAAGTTACCGCCACAAATAAAGACAGTTTCCATTGTAGAAAGGAAATACAAATCTCAAAAATTCTTGTATTGTGATGAAGACATAAAACAATTTTGAGGAATGCGCCCGCTGTTCACTGTTTTGGAGTAGCTGTAGCTCAAGCTGACTTGACTCTAAGAGTTCTACATCACACGACAATTGATTGACAAATGATCCAGTGGGACCTAAGGCTCCTTTTATAGCGCGCCTTCGTGTTTAAGATAGAGGTTTTTAGGCATTAGAGAGCTTAAGCATCAGACGTTTTTGATGTCACGGACGTCAGAATACCGGGGGAGACTGGATCGACAACGGCGTTTTAGGCGCGAAATTTTTTACTTAAGCTGGACACCTGCGTCACCACGAACGTGACAGCTGATCACAGTTGTCACGTTTTTGGTCATTGTTTACAAAGGAAATGTGGCCGTAATTTGCAACATGCCGTATTTAAAGGATGTGAGAAAATCACTTTTAATCGCTCATGACCAAGGACTGGTGTCAGATGAGGAACTGTTGCTATTACTGAAAGAGAATTCGTCAAAAAACCCTGAGTTTTCGTACGAAAAATACGCGAGGTTTAGTATCGAGAGTATCGAGGAACCTGAGTGCAAGTCCGAGTTTAGAGTTGAAAAAAAGGACCTTCCACTGCTGGCTGATGCGCTTCGACTACCGGACACCTTCCACTGTAATCAGAGAACCACTGCCGACAAGTTAGAGGGGCTATGTATTTTGCTCAGGCGAATGTCGTTTCCTTGCCGATATAGCGACATGCTCGCACGATTCGGCCGACCGGTTCCTGAACTTAGCATGATATCAAATACGGTGATGAATTATATTTACGATATACATGGTCACAAACTGTGTCAGTGGAATCATGATCTACTGAATCCACGTGACTTCAACACCTACACGGATGCTATATCGAATAAAGGGGCTGCACTACAAAACGTAACGATCTTGCACTGATCCTTTTGTCATTGAATCCTTGAATAACGGATCTTGTAATCCACTTAGCGCCTCTGCGATCGACAGCCATATTTGCGCTCGGTTGCTCGTTTTCTTCTTTGCTTTAAACGGATTCTGCACTCTGACTTCTTTCATTAGTGCTACGTCGTGCTGTTCAGACCATTCCATAGGCCCACTACATAAAAGAAAAAAGATAGAAGCGAGTGTTACTGTAGGTAGTAGCTGTATAAAATAGTCGATCACATTTCAGCACTAAAAATAAAAAGCTTAATGGCGGGGAAATTAATGCACTTTCTTGAACGTGAAATACGGCAACGACATAAACCTCTCGACAAAAAGAAAACAACTAATAACAAAAACAAACACATGGCAAGATAACTTGCTATTATATAAGTATTTTTCCTGTTCTGGAAAAAACCTCTGCTCGTAGGATAACTAAAAGAATGGCGACAAACAAAAAAGAATTCACGATCAAACAAAACCAAGTAACAGAACCTGCGGAAACTTGTGCCAAACACGAAGTTAGGCACATTTTGTCCCATTTTTAAAAGTTATTGTTTAAGTGCAGATAAAAAACTACTTTCTTATGAAACCTACAATGTACTTACGGGTTTGATTTGACGATTGAAAATGAAGNTTATTATTATTATTATTATTATTTTTAAAATGTTCAATTTAGTTATGAATGTGTTATTAAATCCACCAATCTAATCAACTGTAAAAGCTATTACACAACTGCAACCGTTCAATTTTAACAAAATAATCAATGCTTGTTGATCTAACCTTAGTTTATAAACAGCCTGACTTAGCCCTCTTTATAGAGTGCAAAAACCATATTCTCAGTTTGGGGTCATGACACAAGCAAGACATTTATGACTGTTAAGTAAGAGATAAATAAAAATGCTGGTTAATTTTTTTGTACTGACTGAAATTAACATTTTATGACCTGTTAACGTAATTAATACAAGTTGAGGTAGTAAATAATAAACTTAACATCAAGGCTTCCATTTCCATCCCGTAGACTTTCCACGTTCAGTATCTTCCTACTCCGCATTTCTCCTTCTTTCACGGACACCACGTCTGAATCCAGCACCTGCTCCTTGTCACTTCCTTGGGCCATTAAAATTCTTTAAAAAGAAAATACAATATATTTACGTATCATAACATTGTTCCGCTCAATTACCATAGTGTATTTTTATGCCAGATTTCGGTTGTCTCTCAGCTTAAACTAGGGAAGTACATACGCTGGTTTCAGCTTTGAACGTACCAGTTAGAAAGTTTTGGTATAGACGGTGATGCATGAATAGGTATGATGAAGTGTTTTTTTTTTCCATACACCTCTCTAGTTTCCTGCTTGAAGATCTGTTATTTAGTCTGCTGTTCTTTTTGTATCATTATTTACCTTTGCAATACTTTTAAGTTTTATTTAGTAACATATATACAGCAAATTTAGCATTTTACATCATTTCTTCTCAAGCCCCATTTGTTAGTTTATTTTTTTACATATAATCAGTTTCGCATTTGCCATAAATTATGTGAACTAATTCTCAGAACCTTTTACTCCTGGTTGAGTATTGGATTTGTGAGGAAAATAGAGTTAGTCACTCTTGGGACATGAAAGAAGGCAAAGGTAGTATTTTCCTTTAAATACACTGATAAGCACTGTGTACAAAATAATTGATGTTCTTACTGAACTTCCGCACTAACTGGATGGGATGCTGAGAGAAGCTGCAGGAACAATTTTTGTTGTCTGAAGTACAGTCCTCTCCATCTGTAGCCTTCATCTATAAATGGCCCACTTGTTAAGGGATTGTCTCCATCAGCAGTTGAAGGTTGTTGTGTACTGCTCTCTGTAAAATTTGGAATTCTCCAACAAAAGGAGACAACCCTCTCCACTTTGGGCTGTATAGGTTCTGTGTCGCATTTCTAAAACAGAAATTGATTTTTA